GCTCCCATTCACAGAATAAAAGTTAAGAGAAACTTTTTCTTCTTATTGACTTTTTTTCCCACTTAAGTTCACTAGTACATTTTAGGTATACAGTACAGTTACATTCATCACTGGGAACTTGTACCCTTACATGATGTATCTTGGTTCTTATTTTTTCCCCATTCCCCTGCCTTCCCTTCAACCCCTCCACCCCTCCTTATTTACAGAGACTTTGTTTCCATTTTTTCCTTTTCTCATTCTTATAGACTTTTAAACTGAGCTATAACTGCAAAAACATTCCACCCAGCAGTCACTGTTGTGAATAGAGTCAGAAGGTAGAAAAAATAGGGGTCTTCATGGTGGTCTTCACAGTACCCAGTACAGCATGAGACATAGGTAGAGAGGTTCAGGAGGTTTTGATCAAGACTGGCATTGCTATGATTACACATATGTCACAGCTTCTAGCAGAGTTATGAATCAGAAATAAATCTCAAATTTGAATATGTATATGTGTTATTATAATTTGAATCTTAAATGTTCCCTAAAGGCCTATATGTTAAAAACTGTGCTTTCAACTTGTCCTTGGGGAGGTGGTAAAAACATTAAAGGGGTGGGGCTTGAGGGGCTGGTTTTATATCACACTGACATTTCCCATGAAGGGATACTGGGACCCTGGCCCCTTTGTCCCTCTTTCTTCACACTCCACCTGTGAGGTCAGTGGCTTTTCTCCATCACATACTCCTGCACATTATGCTGCCCTGCCACAGGCCAAAGGCAACAGGGCTGAAGCCTCTAAACTGTGAGACAAAGGTTTTGTGAGACAAAAACCTTTCTTCTTAATAATTTGACTGTCTCAGTTGTAGTGACTGAGAGGTGACTAACATATCCATCATTTTCAATCTTGTTAAAATTCAGATTCTGATTTAGAAGGTTGGCGTGGGACCTCCCATCATGCATTTCTTTTCTTTTCTTTTTTTTGGTACCGGAGATCAAACTCTGGTCCTTGTGCTTTCGAGGCAGGCGGCGGAACCACTGAGCTAAATCCCCTGCCCCCATCATGCGTTTCTAACAATTTTCCAAGTGGTTCTGACTGTCCTTAGACTGCAGAGTGATGTTGTATACATTTATCAGTGCGTTTATTTGTGGTCAAATGGACACCTTGCCTTTGCCTTCTTACTTTTCTCTGTGGGATGTTTCAGACACCTGCTACTTGCTCCAGCAAACTTCTGTTTTTGGGAAGTCACTGCCAACCTGGGGACTACAGAAGGCTCTGGGACTGGAAGGGATCCAGTGTCACTCTGCTTCCTGTTTCAGCAAGCTTTCAGATTCTTCGAGTGGGAGCCTGCTGCACACCTGTGCTGCCTCCACTAGAAGCCCCTCCACTCAGTGGTTCTGTCTCCTCTACTGCATCCCCTGACTGATGTTCCAACCCCTTTCAATCACCCCTGGCCTCCCCGTCCTGCAAGTTATAACCTCCTTTCTCTCTTTGTTGAAATGAAAGCTTAGGACCTTTTTTCCTGCCTTCTTTTTTAGCCTTAAAATGTTTTTATTTCACCGCCTTCCTCTTTAACCCACATTTTATTCTTATCTTCATCTACTATAATTGCCTCTCTTGAGTTCGAACAGTTAGTTCCCCAATATCCTTTTATTTCCATCCCCACATTCCTTTGGGGACATACCACCAGTTATTGTTATTTTCTCTTGTACACTCAGTGTTCTCCCTCTATCCATTTCTTTACTCTCTTCTCACATGCTCAGCCTCAACTTTCTTTCCTCAATTTTTATAAAAGAAGTTAAAGTATATCTGCCAAATAGGGAGAATGTAATGACGTCTCATTTACTCACCAATCAACTGTAGTAATTGCCAAAGTCTGCATTTTTGAATTTGTACTTTCTGGAAACATCTTCCCTCAACAACCCTCACATCTTGGCTTCCTTTTGTGGCTGAGCACCTCTTTCTAATTCCTGGCCCACATCACTCTGTTAACCTCTTGCCCTTTTGTTCTTGTCCTGTTTCACTACACAATCTTATTTCCATTATACATAACTGGATTCAGGGACCATTTCTCAGGCTTCCTTCTTCTCCAACCTCTGAGGCATTCCAGTATTTCTCAGGCTTTTCTCTCTGAGCAGCTGGAATTAGCACCAGCTGTCCACAGAAGGACTTTGGAAGTCAACACTCTGACGCCCTGGACTTTCAGAGCTATATGTACTTTTCCAGACTCATCACCATGTCAAAACCTTTAATCTTACCTCTTTCCTAGAAGTGGAGATGGACTACTCCTTAAAGATGGTGATCATATCTCCTGGAAAGGTAAAAAATCCTTAACTGTATCTAGCACAGTGCTTTCACTTAATCAAGACACCATAAAAATTAACTGACAGTGATGATGATGATAACAATGACTGCCACTCACATACAAGTATAAAAATAGACCATGGAAAACCCAAGATACAATTCTTTATCTGCTTCTTGAACCCTTAGTTTTTATTGCATGTTGGTTTAACCATACATCTAATTACCTAAGCTTCTGAGGCTGGAATTTCCATGTTCTTGTAATTTAAATGTAACTTTGAATGCTTTTTTTTAAAGTTCAAGTTGACACAAACATATCCATTCATCACTCTGAATTAAGAACTATTTAAGTGTACAAAGGTAACTGGCAAGATGAGGTTAGGTGGAGAGGGGAGGAGGAGAGGTGATAAGGAGAGGAGAGATTATTTTACATGATTGATGCAAGCATGAGATTTCTCCTCACCACCAGAAATAATAAACTTTAAAAAATGACACCATATGGAATACTTTTTGGCAGCTTAGAAAATTGTATATAGGGGAATTGATTATTATATGTATTAAATGGTTATTTTGTTGAGACAATATTTTCTAACATCAGGATTATAGAGTGTGCACTTTAAACAGAAAGGTGATGATGGGGAACTTTGACTATGTTCTTTCTATCATGTGTGCACTCTGGCCAACACGCCCCAAGTGGGTATGATCTCAGAGCACCATGGTGCCTCTCTCTGCCCAGACCCATCCATACTGCAAATTCTCACATTCATACTGTAAATTCAGCCGTTGGTGTTTCCAAGACCTACCTACTAGCCTCATGTTTCATTCATCAGCTTTGGGAGCAAGCAAAAGAGAGAAACAAAAAGATCTCCTGAAGCTCCTGGGTTAGCAATTGATCCTCTGGATTTTCTGCTTTCATCTGGTGAAGACTTCTGACTATCATCCCAATGAAACTACCTTCTCAGAGCACGTGCCTGTGCATTTGAGGTCAGCTTGCCTTCAAATCTTTTGAGAAATCTACCTGGAATGTCGAATAACAGGGGCTGCTTTCACCTTGTAATAATTGTGGCCCTTGAAAAGTTATTTAAGCTCTAAGAGCCTCAGTCACTTCATCTGGGAAGTGGAATAATTAGTTATCCAGGGCTGACCAGTGATGAATCAGTTAAGAGCATTGATTATATATGTTATAATGCACAAGGCTTTTATTCACTTATTTTATAAAATAAAATCAAGTATTTGGTCTCATATAGGTAAAACATGTTGTTGTTTTTTTAACTGAACACTTTGTCAGGCATTCAGAATGGTCTGACTAATTCAGTTGATCAGTTGAGGCCTGAGGTCACATCATCAGTTACCTCACCTGTGTACATGTGTGACATCTCTCAGTGTTGAGTGTGTGTTCATAGCATTATCCTACTCATTCCTGCTATGGAAATAGGCTAGGCAGGTAGGTATGATGATGCCCAATTTCTTATGGGTGAGGAAATAGAGATCATAGAATACAAAGAATTGCCAAAGTTCACAAAGCTAACAAGTGACTGAACTTGAATTAGAATGAACCCCCTTGACTCCAAAACTGGGGTTTGAGCAACTCTCACACAGGGATGAATGGAATATCCTCATCAGAGAGCCTTCCAGGGTGTGATCCCAATGACCTGCTCAGGCTTCCTGCTCATTCCTTCTTTTCCTTTACCAATCCCCTCAGGTAAAAGTAAACAGAAGAAATATATATAAGGGACACACTATGATGCCTGGGCTTTTTCCTCCAGATAATCACTGGTGTGAGTGGGTGCAGACACAGCTGCAGGTGGCCAAGGAAGCTGGTGAAAGCCGTGTTGATATATATTGCTCTCAAATCTGAGACTGATAGAGCTAGAATTTCATCTAGCCCCAAATAGTTATATTGCAGATGAGAAAAAAGAGGCCAGTGAGATAGTGTTCAAGGCCACCCAAGTCAGGGATTGAACTTTAACTTTCTGAATTCCATGCCTGTTTCACAGAGTCATGTTAGGTTGTATTCTTTAATGCTTTTCTGAAGCCTATATCATAATTTTACAATTACCAAAAGTTGAAAACTATTTTTAAACAACAATGTTCTCTTGGATCTCAATAGGAATGCAGATCACAAGAATGTCTGATTTATTTAGATCATAATGGAAAAAGTGTATCCACATTTAAAGTATAATCTTATAAACAAAAATTATAAAATCTATAACAGATGCATGTGCTTTATATATAATATACATGTTCAGTGTTTTTGAAATGTAATTACTTGTATTTTTTTCCTGATTAATTTCTGTCTCCATTTACACACACACACACACACACACACACACACACACACACACACACACACCTGCCCCGCACATATTTGGTTAAGCCTTTTCTTGACTGAGAATTCAAACAGTACACTGTTTTCTTTTTTTGCTAGCACTTCCTGCCTGCTTTATATTTGATTTACTTGGATGTTTTAAATTTCTTATGTATTAATCACTGAACATTTTGTTGAGTGCCAGTTCTATGGCTAGCAGTGGTGGATGTGCAGACTTCATCAATGCTTTCATGGGGCTGAATTGGAAAAAGTAGACAAATACAAAGAAAATAAATAAGATTGGAGATGAAACCGGTAAAGGAGCCAAACAGAACAGGAAGAGAGAGAATAACAAAGTGGGTGGGGTGCGCTGAGGGGTGGACCAGCATTGCCAGATGTTCAGGAATGTTGATGAGACAGGAGGGTAAGAAGGGGAACCTTCCTTCAGGCAGAAGAACAGCATGTGGTGAAGGTGGTGAAGAGCCTGGCCCCTCAGGATGAGGTAAGGAGCCAAGGCAAAGGTGGTGTGGTTGTTGAAGAAAGCACCAGAGCCAGTCATGCTGGGTCTCGTATAGGCCAGGGTCAGAAGCCAGGCTTTACACTCACATTTGGTGGGAGACCACCGGAAGGTTTGGAACAGAAGAGTTATAGAACCTTTATTTTCTTCCTTTTTGTTAAGAACACTTCAGTTCCTATGTGGGATTTGGAATATAGCAGGACAAAGACAGAAGTTGGGAAACCAGACAGGAGCAAGTGACTATGGCAGTGGCTCAGGTGAGTCATGCTGAGGTTGGCGGTGGCAGAAAAGCAGCAGATTTGATTTAGAGGTAAGTATGTTTGGATGGAAGAAACATAAGGAAAGGGAGAAAGCAAGAATATTGCCTAGATTTTAAGCTGGAGAATTGGGTTTATGACAAACACCATAAAGGAAGGTATTTTGGGGACGAAGATGTTGTTTTCTTTTTTCCTCCTTTTGGGAGATAGTGGTGTGGGCAGTATGTGGTCTGCACTTTATTAAATTATGAACATGGCTGGTTGTTGTACACACAAGTAGGAATTGAAAAAAGGTTTACTAAATGCGTGTGCAAAAAGGCAGAACACTAAGCAGGGGGATTTCCCCAGAACACAGGATTTTATTAACTTTCTTGGTACATTTTAGGTATACAATATAATGACATTCATCATTGGAAATCTGCACCTTTACATGATATATCTTGTTTCTTATTTTTCCCCATTCCCTTGCCCTCCCTTCAACCCCTCCATCCCTCCCTATTTACAAAGACATTGTTTCCTTTTCTTCATTTTCTCATATT